GTGTGTGTGTGTGTGTTTGTGTGTGTGTGTGTGTGTGTGTGTGTGTGTGTGTGTGTGTGTGTGTGTGTACCCATGTGAACGTGTCCCCTCTGATTTCTAGAAGACTCATGATGAGGGAAACACTGACTGAACATTCTGTATAGTGCTTATAAATATTTGGGTCAAGAATAGCCAGAAACATTTGCATCCTTGCATCAGTGAAAATTATTGCAAATCTAATAGGTGTGTTTATCATGAAAGAATGAAACAACCAGACTGCTCTTAAGCCATTTTAGAGAACAATCATTCAAAAGTAGCAGAGGGTTGTGTTGGTTTTGTTGATCATATTACTGAAGGGGAACTAAATGTGGGCCTCAGGTGAGTAGATGACAACTTGAGTGGTTCTAAGTTTGAGCTGCGAGATATCTAAAAGGGTTCCTCCCCATAGAGCAGCAGTAACACATTTGGCTTCATTGCAAAGGGAACTAACTGATCTTCATGATGTTATGACCATGGTGCTCACTACCCTCAAAGTTCAGGACAGCAAAACAAAATGCATAGTGTTATCTATTCCTTTTCAGAAGATGTGTGCCACGGACCCTGCTTTAATTAATAAACAGAGTTCCTTAACAAAATCTTAACAGTGTCGTGTTCAGATATATCTGTGCAATGAGAATGACTCTATGTGTGCTGTAACAGCATTATTTGACAACGCTTTAAAAAGTGACATCCTATATGTAGCCAGGCAGTTGGCATAGTGGTATAGCACAGGTCAGCCTGGGAGTGAGATGTGAAGATTCGTCAAAGAATGTGTTGAATGATGCATTGCTCTATAACTTTGAGAAACTCCTTTATGTAATTCAGGCAGCTATTTGGAATGCCAGATTGATTGAGAGTTGCTATTGGACCATATGGATTGCTAGAGTACTGTTTAGAGTATCTGTTTCACCTTGCTTGGCAGGTCAGAGATACATATTGGAAAATTTACAGTTCCATTTGTTTTAGGTCAAGGATGCTCTCACAACATATCATCCAACATTTGGGAATGCTAGTATGAACACCTGTATTTTTTTGAAACTTGACTCTATCTTATACTTTTATATTACTTTTATGTCAAACACAGATGCTTCACATTATGTATTTGCTTTGAGTTAGTGATATAAGCTTCAAACGTTGCAGGTCACTGTAGATCTGGATATAGGATAAGGGGTAGAAATCCAGAGACATTAGTTCAAAAAAAAAAAAAACACTGCTTTTTTATGGTTCACAATATACATAAGTAGAAACCTACAACACAGTGGTTGAGAAGTTGAGGTGAAAGGAAAAGTATGGGCCAAGGCCAAGTTCTCAGCACAAAGGAGATTTATTCACCCCGGAGGGAGAGGAATGAGAGCGGGAAGGGGATAAGAGACAAACACAAGATACAGCAGACAAGGGAGAAGCAGCAAGGATATTTGTCCAGAGGGACAAAAGACTGGCTCTGGATAGAAGGGAGACCGAAGTGAAAAACAGAAAAATGGTAGTTTATGAAGGTACAAGGGGAAATACCCATGCTAGGATGAGGTGTTTAGTTTTAATGAAGTACGTTAGTTAGGTGAGCCAAGGTGGGGCTTGTGATTGCTGGACATTGGTGATCAGCTTCAGGAATGAGTCTGGCATGAGAAAGTGTCCAAATAAGAGGCTAGACCTTTATGGATAGCTTTAAGGATGTGCTTTATAGTTTACAAGGGAGAGGGAAGGAGTAAGCTCAAGACCTGCCAGCACCATGTTTGCCAAACCCAGGCCTGCTAGAGCCCTTCAGGAAGAATCATTTTCATTTTATCTTTACAGAGATTTGGATTTCATTCTTTGTGTTTAATTGAGAAATAGGCATTTGTGCCAAAATATGGGGGAAATACCCAATTTACCTATGTGCAGAGGTGGATGATAGCATAATATATGTGGTAACAAAAAAGAGACAGATGTAATGTGCAGGAATAGATTCCAAAATTTTCTTCTGTTTTAAATTACTCATTAGACATTTGCAGACCCAAGTAAGATGCTTTTGGGGGGAGGGGCATCTTTAAATCCTGATTACAAAATCCTCAACACATAGGAGCATTGGTACTGGGCTTTGGAACTAGAAAACATTTTTAGACAAGACTTCAGCAGTAAAGAAGACAATGAGAAAAAAAAGACAAATGAAATTTCACAAAACTAAGAAGCTTTGGAAAAATAAAGGAGGAAAACTTGAGAAGAGACAACTTAGAGAATGGGAGATACTTGTCTACCATCCTTCTGAAAAAGGGTTAATATCTAGACCATGTTAGGAATGCCACAAATAAATAACAGAAAAATAACATATATCAATTAGAAATGGGCATTGTATATAGCTAAGCCATTCTGAAAATAAGCCACGCAAATGTGTGGCTGGGTAAATGTAAAAATGTTCAACATCATTAATCACGAAGTAAATCAAAATCAAAATCACACCGAGATATTCCCTTACCTCATTAAAAGTGGGTTTTATCAGAGATACAAAAGTTACTCAGAAAATTAAGAGTAGAACTTCCATATGATCCAGTAATCCACTAAGGTGTATATAAAAAGTGACAACAATAGTCTAGAGGCTACCTTAAAAGCACTTCTCTGATAATGAGATTGATGACTACCTTATATGCCATCCTAGAGCCTTCATCCAGATGGAAGCAGATGCAGACACAGCTAAACACAGAGCTGAACTCTGGAATCCTGTTGCAGAGAAGAAGGAGTGATGAGCTAAGGGTTCAAGACCAGACTGGAGAAACCCACAGAAACAGCTGACCTGAACAAGGGATTGCTCATGGACCCCAGACTGATAGATGGCAAACCAGCATAGGACTGTTCCAGACACCCTCAACAAGGATGTCAGTTTGGAGGTCTGGACAATCTATGGGGCCACTGGTAGTGGATCAGTATTTACCCCTAGTACACAAATGAACTTTGGGAGCCCTTTCCTCATAGAGGGATACTCTCTCAGCCTAGACACACTGGGGAGGGTCTAGGCCCTGCTCCAAATGATATGACAGACTTGAAGATTCCCCCAATGAAGGCCTCACCCTCCCTGGAAAACAGAAAGGGGTTGAGATAGGGGGGTTGGTGGGGGACAGGGGAGGAGGGAATGGAGATGGAACTGAGATTGACATGTAAAAGAAACTTGTTTCTAATTTAAATAAAAAAGAAGCCTAAGCCATAGGCCAAACAGTTTATATTTTTTTTTTAAAAAAGTGACAGTCTGTCCAAGAGACCATTACACTCATGTGTTTATTGTGGCACTATTCACAATACTCAAGAACTGAAAACTCTCTGAATGTCAATCAAGTGATGAATGGATAAAGAATACACAGTAATCACATACAACTGAATGCTATTAGGCAAGGAAAAAATGAAACCCTGTAACTTGTGGCTACATAGATGGAACTGATTATCCAGACAATCTCTTAATTAAGAATCGATTTTCAGATGGCTCTGTCAAGATAGCTTTGTCAAGTTGGTGGTTAAGATAACTAGGATAGGTATTAAGTCACAATTAGTGAATAATAAAAAAGTTATTTTCATCATGTAACTTTACAGTCTCATCTATTGACCATGTTCAATCAGTTTAAGAGTATGAGATGACCATTTACATTTGTTCAATTTCGTTATTACATTACTGTTCTCTTTCTCTTGTTTTCAGTGCCAGACATCATACACCACACTCCAAAAACACTAGGCTAGATAACTGCCTTAACCCCATATATTAGTAGTGTCCTTAACATCTTTGTAAAAATATAATAAAATTACACGTATTCCTGATCTAAAAATTCAGGCACAGTCCATATCTCTATAGTTTTCTGGCCCTAGATGACTCCAGCTTTACATTCTACAATCCCTAAACAAGTGATATGTGTTTAAGTATCAATGCTGAGTTTTGGCCATTGTATGTATAATAAAAGTCACAATATTGAGGAAAAGAAAGTAAAAAGGCCTATACACAAATTTAAGGACATATCCTAGGAGTTTTAGATGCCTTTTATTTTATGTCATAGGTGTTGACACTTACATTTTTAATTATTATTAGTAGTATTAGTATTATTTTGATGAGGGATGCTAGAAGTCTAGAAACAGGTTATTACATAACATTCTGAGAAAATGGATAGACATTAAAAATTAACTAGCAGCACTTCAGTTTTTTAACAAACTGGCTTTATTTGATTGATATAATTGGATATATTTTAAGCATTTTACCAGACACAGTAAGATATAACATGACTGGATCCGATGCATTCTATAGTACATCTCTGCACATTATTATAAATACCAGTATTGGAACTGGGCTTGGTGGCACCCTGGAGACAGGCAGATAGATATCTGAGTTCAAGTCCAGTCTGGTATACAAAGCACAAAGCAAGTTCCAGGGCAGACAGGGCCACACAGAGAAGCCCTGTCTTGAAAATCAAACAAAACAAAACATAAATATCAGTATTTTCATGACTGTTCAGTATTTTCTATAAATTATTTCTTATTGGCACTGATAACGTAATTTGTAACTACAATGTAGAGTGGAAAAGTTCTAGAAGAATTTTGTTTCCATTAACAAATGGTACTATGCAATATCTGAGAAGCCTCACCTGTGCTCAGTTTCTGATACAATGCCCTGATGATGGAAAGGTGACAAAACACCCTTATCTTTAATACTAATTGCTAAGATGCCTATTTCCTCTCCATCTACACTGCTTAGAAAAATTTACAATGTGCTTCTAAAGCATGAGATAAGAAAATATCCTGACTTCCTCCTTCCCTCTCCAATAAAAGCTTGGAGAAGCACCCGGTTCCCAGGTTGGTACCATGGCTGTCCTGGCTTCCTGGGTCTGGGTACTGATTGGCTACCTTTCTGCTGCTGTAGCAGAGAACTCTAATCCCTCATCTCTATATCCTCCTTTCTGGGAAGACACCAGTGGAGAGATAAGTGGTTTTGCTTTGGAGGATGGAAAGTACATAATAAACCCGTGGGTATTCACTGATAGAATGGGGTTGTATAAAATCTTACTGAGTAAGACGGCCCCATATTTTGCAAAATATGGTCCAGAAAATGAACAAAATCTTTTGTGGGGATTGCCTATGCAGTTTGGATGGCAGTATAGAACAGGTAAGGAAGATTCTTATTCTCCTATATACTGATATATGCCTGAGGTAGTAAGAAAATGGGATTCTCCATGCCGTACATTGCTATCTAGTTTTATGTCTACTTGACACAGGTTAGAGACATCTGAGAGGAAGGAATGTCAGCTGAGAAAATAGTTTCATAAGATCAACCTGTAGGCAAGCCTTTGGGCATTTTCTTGTTTAGTGATTGATGGGAGAAGGTCCCACTCATTGTGGGTAGTGCCATCCCTAAGCTGGTGGCCCTGGATTCTGTGGGAAAACAGACTGAGTAAGCCATGAGGAGTGAACCAGTAAGCAGACTCCTCTATAGCCTCTGCATCAGCCTTGCCTCCAGGTTCCAATTCAATTTGAGCTCTTGCCTTGGCTTCCACCAATGGACTGTTATTCAATATAAATAAGCCAAATCCTCTCTTCTCCAAGTTGCTTTAGATCATGGTATTCCATCACCCTACTAATAACACTAAGACACCCACCCATGTCTCTTGGAAAACCGATTTCTTTGTTTACTTTTTAATCTCCTTATAATTATTTTTCATCTATTCCTATTTGTTCTTATTCACAAATCCTTTTCCCATGAATTGGTTGTTTCTACCAGACACTTCAAAGGCCAGTAGGCATAGAGACCAACCAAAAATATTAATCCTTTTTCTAATTTGCTGAGTAATTTCAAAATAGTTACTTCCCCACTGCTAACTACACATGTCTTCCTGTTCCTGTGGACACACAAGGGAGCATTCATTACAAACAGGAGTGATGTCTGATTATATTGACCTTAATGTGAGTCCTAATTGCAATTGCCTGATCATAAGCATGAAATTATAAATGAGTGGTTTCTTGCTAATGGTGAGCTATGCCAATGGTTGCTTCTTCTTGGAAACCAAGCTCTTTTCAGTATATATACATGGAAGATGTTTGTGGACAACATATTCATGTATAAAAAGATAGTTATTTCTGGCTGACAGAAGTTGTGTGAAGAAATTGGTGCCTGATACCCAACCTGCACTGCTTCCTCATTGCTCAGCAAGTAAGAAAAAAGAGGGGGAAAGGAGAAGGGAGAAGGGGAATGATGTCAGTCTTGAAGAAAAAGAAAGATTATTTTTTGATGTGCTGATGTTTATGTAACAGATAGTCAACTTGTAAAATACTTCTGATAACTTGTTTTAACTTATGCAGAAATCTCATTTATATGAAATATTGTTATCTCCACTTTACAGTGGTACTCATGTGATCATGTAATTTAGAAACATAGACCAAAGGTTTGGTTTGACTCCCTTTCTGTTAGTGACTGTTGCTCCTATGAATTTTATTAGGACTAGAGAAGACAGGAAAATGTGAAGTTATGTAAGTAAAACTATAGCCTATAAATTAAAAGTCAAAATTTTGGTATGGATGAAAACAGAAAATAATTTGGTTGAGAAATGAGAAATATTAAAAAGATGGTAAGTAAGATATAAGTAAATTGGAAAATTTTATATCTATAAATTAAATGCATGCATTTAACAATTTTAAATGTGTATAATAAACAAATACAACTGTGTATTCCCTGCCCTCTAGGTAGATTAGTTGATCCCACTGGAAGGACAACCTGTGGCTATAAAACTTTTGACGAGCTATGTGTGTCTGTGGACAGTTGGTGGGCTGGTAGGTTCATTTCAATAACCAAATTGTACCTTTGCATTATAGAATCCATTTAAACCCCAATTGTAGAGACAGAGACAAACTGAAATAGTTCTTCAAACTTTTGCAAGATAAATCTACTTCATCATATGCCAGTGGCCTTGATGACATGTGGCAAAATTGACCAGTCAAATAATAATTTTTAAGGATGTATTCATTCAGACTTTTCACAGAAGGATTAAATGAAGGAACTGCAAAGGTCATGGCCTCTAGGGACCAGCACTGTCAGTGAGATGACAGGTTCCCACAGGAACATGGAATCATTGTAAGGAAAGACCAAGATAATAATGCTCTTCCTTTTTGCTCAGAAAAAAAAAGTGCTAAATGCTGATAGTCACAAACTTCTCTGAGTAATGTTATCTCTTGTTTGGCCATTGTATAACTAAGGCTTTAGTCATGTATGCAATACTAAAAACAACTTGAATATACTTCCTAATTCTTTTACAGTGTGTTTTGGGTTGAAATTAATTTACATCAAAATTTATTGTAATAATTTCCCAATGATTAGAAATGACATTGCATTAAATTTTACTTCTGGGGGAATGACTTATTAAATAGTATGATCCAGTAGGTATTTCCCTAATGCTAAATTGAGTCATTCTTCTCAAAACTCATAAACAGACTTGGCAACAGCTCTAGATAGCTGATTGGTTTAGTAATTTGAGGTGTTAAGAATGAGTACAAGCCAATTACCTAACTAAATTAAAATGTTTAAATCTGCTGGACTTGTCCTCTATAACTGCAAAGTTTGAAGTCCTGAGAAGTTTATTAGGCTGTAAGACAAAACTTCCTGCCTTAGAGAAACAAGTAAAAGCCTTGGTGATATGATGCATAAAAATTAGAGTAACTTGTGAATTATAAAATATGCATTTTATGAATCTGTGATAATGCTTAATTATTTTATAAAAAGTTAAAACCAACAACATAATCTCATTGAAAACTGTGCCATTCTGTGAATAATTTGACATTTTTCTTTCCTTATTTATTTAATGCTTTGAAATAGGACTGTTATCCAATCCATTAATATTACTTTTCTTAAAAATATTATAATATGGTTCTTTAGTGAGTGTATATACAATCACAATCATAGTATTATTAAATTGTAAGTTGATTTTCCTCACTGTTTTTAGTTGGATAATTTTTATCATCTTTGGAATCTGTGAATTTTCCTTAATGATTTATGCTTCCTCAAAATGTGCTCTGGAATTTGTCACTGGCTGTGGTGTGGGGCTAACCAACCTTTTGTTTTCACAGATGTAAATTATTTTTTGAGTGTGTTACCTTTCCTTGCTGCTGTTGATTCTGGCATACTGGGGATATCATCAGATGAATTCACGATTTTACCACCGCCCCTGGATGAGTCGAGGTTTTGTTATAATGTTTCTGACTGCAAAAAGTTAGTCGGTGAAATAATGGACAGCTGGACCACCTTTTTCCAGGTTCTTCCTTTAAGTTTTATACCATACTAGTCAGCCATGCAGAGACAATGCTTTTTGTGAAAGTATTTTGTGAAGGATTGTTTTTATGAATTGTATTCTTTCCTTAATATTAAAACATAAATTGTAAATAGATTTTATTCATAAGTGATGTAGAAACACAGTGCATGCCTTAGAACCACCCACTGTTCTCATACAGTACTAACACAAAATTCATCTTTTCTCACTGCATGTAAAGAATATCACAAATAGCAAGGATGCAGACCACTTTAAGAAAGTAAATGGGCAAATGAGTAATTGGGAGTTTAGGTCACTTTTGAAATATTATAAGAATCAGGGTTATAGCCTTATTTTAGAATAGTCTTTCAAATTACTGAAACTGAATTAATAACCCCTCATATGTAGGTAGAACTGATGAAAAGGGCTGTGAAATTATTAGAGAGCTAGGAGAAATATATAGGAAGGTTGGAGGGAGGAGAAAGAAGGGAGAAATGATACATCTTAACTTCAAAAATAAAAGAAATAATAAATAATAAAAGTGACATGCTATTCTAAACTAACCATTGATGACCAAAATAAAATACAGTGGTTAAGCATAGAAGAAGCTAAATGTTAGTGATTTAAATACATTACTTTTCATTGCTTTAAATATAATTCAATTTAATTTTCAATTTTTTTCTTATCACTGAAAATGTTACAAGAATTTCAATAGTGTTGACAGAAAAAATGGCAGTGGAACTGTCAAGTGTAAAACATGGACATTTTGAAGATATTTGAAGTTCACTTCAACTGGATGATATGCTTTACTGAAAAGCACTGGATATTCTCCTATTTGCTGTTAGGTACTAAGTTGTGGCATGTAGGAACAGCAATTTCAGTTCGCGCTAACTATTGCTCCTGTCTCTGAGACTGGTAGAGTTTGAGGGAGAGTTGCCCACATAACACTTTTTCTTCTATGCTTTAGTACATGCAGTTGCCTTCTAGTGACTTTGATGGCCTTTTGCAGCACTTATGGGCTGCTCATACCGCATCCTTGGAGTATCCCATCAGTGTCTTTGCAGACAGGTAAGAAATAGTTTTTACCTCTGTTTTAGTTTAATGTTTTTCCGATTGGTTTGGTTGAAAACCATGACCAAAAGCAAGGAAAGAAATGGTTTGTTTCAACTTACAAGTTATAGTTTGTCATTAAAGGAAACCAGGGCAGGAGCTCAAGCAAGAACCTGGAGGCAGGAGCCAGGAACCATGGAAGAATATTGCTTAATTCAGCTAACTTTCTTGTATATAGCTCAGGGCTACCTGCTTAGGGATAGCACTGCCTACAGTGGGTTGGGTCCAGTTTCATCAATTAGCAATTGTGAAAATGCTTCGTAGACACAGATATAAGCCAATCTGATGAACTCAATTCCTGAATTGAAATTCCTTCTTCCCAGGCATTTCCAGATTTGTGTCAAGTTGACTAAAACTAACCCGCATGGTCTTACTCATTTCTTTTTTTCTTTTTTTTCTGTGTATTTTCTTAGTGTTAGATATTTGGCAAAAGCAAATTATAAATATTAGTTGTAAAAGGGGAATAATTCTATTCATATGCTTTCTGAAGTTTAATTGGATTTTTTTCTACTTTATTTCATTATTGGACTGATATGCTATTGGACTGTAAATTTTCTTTTTTTTTCTTTTTCCATTTTTTATTTGAATTAGAAACAAGATCATTTTACATGGCAATCACAGTTCGCTCTCCCTCCCCTCCTCCCCTACCACTCCCCCCAACTAAAACCCTACCTATGACACCCTTTCTGCTCCCCAGGCAGGGTGAGACCTTCCATAGGGGGTCTTCAGAGTCTGTCATGTCCTTTGGGATAGGGCCTAGGTCCACCCCAGTGTGTCGTGCCTCAGGGAGTATCCCTTCATGTGGAATGGGCTCCCAAAGTCCATACCTATGCTAGGCATTTCTTTTTCTTTTAGAATAACTGTGAATTTTTAATCTTAATTACAAACAATTAGTGTGATCACTGGTGACAATTTTGATAAAGGGCAAATTTGGAATATATTTTAGAAAAGTGAAGAAAAGAATATCTGAGAAACAGGAGACGGGAAAATAGCACAAATGGTAAATCCCTCATATGCAAGCATGAAGACTTGAGTTCAAATCCTAGAATCCACGTGAAAACAGCCAAGCACCGAGGCATGTATTTATCATACTCATGCATACATAATATATGTTACAACTGGTTAAAAGGGCTGTGAAATTGTTAGAGAGGTAGGAGAAATATATAGGAATGTTGGAGGGAGGAAAAAGAAGGGAGAAATGATAATCTTAACTTCAAAAACATAAAAAAATAATAAAGCAAAGGAATCTCAGTTCCATACAGACAATCTTGAAAAAATGGACACATTTAAGTGTGTTTTTCCATAATGTCAGGATTCATTGAATACCAATAAGTTTTTTGCTAGGCCAAATTTGTTGCTGTACTGTACTTTGTACTACTAATTTTGCTTGAACATTGTGACCATTGACAGTCTCCTCTGACCAGTGCTATCATGAAGCTCAAACTGATAGTAACTGTTCCTGCATAAACATCACCACTGACAAGCTTATCAACTTAGGTCAAAGCCATATCATGTAAAATTATTGAACATGCCAAACCACCAAATGATAAAAAAA